TTTTTTTGAGAGTTTTTTGCTATAGGGTGCGTGCACTCGCCAGAAAGACAGAGACAGAGAGACAGAAAGCAAGAAATCACCCCGGGGGATGGCCGCGCTGCAATCCCTTCTCCTCCATTCTCCTCTCAGGATCTTGGACATGCACGTGCAAGCACCTGGTGTGAGTTTAAGCCACCAGGTCTAGGTCTCGAACGGCGGTTGACTACATGGGAGTCCATCGACATAGCCATTATGCTAACTGCTGGTCCCAATAATTTATACAATTCTAACATATGATAATAAATGTGAAGCCCAGGCTAAAATAGAATGCCGTGTTGATTAAAAAGTGAAGGCAGTGGGCCAGTGGGGGTATGGAAGTTAAGGCACTGGATCCCACATGGCCAACTCTGTGGTTCGAGTCCTGGACTTGGTGGCTTGAAAATCATGCCAGATGTGTGTGTGCGCGTGTTCAAAATTCCAAGAGGAGAATGGAGGGGAAAGTACCGCACTGTAGCCATTCCCTTTGGGGGGACTATTTCTCACTCCTCCCCCTTCTCTTTCCGGCAAATGTACCTGCCCTGTTGCAAATTAAGACCCAAAAAAAAAGTCTGTAGGAAACAATGGGATTAACATATATATTTGTTTAAAAAAAAAAAAGGATTTTTCTACCAACTATGAAGGTGCTAAGTTTTATAATTGGTAAGACATTATCTGCCTGGGGTTGACCAGCAGATGGCGTAACCATTACATCAGCTGAGGGCTGCTGGAGTCCCAGACCGCGGCTTAAACTCACACCAGCACATGCGTGCCCAAAATCATCAGAGAATGGAGGAGAAGGAACTGTGGCTTGACCATCCCCCCTGGGGGGTGATTTCTCCTTTCTGTCTTTCTGGCTCTCTCTGGCTCCCCGGCAAGCACACACGCCCGATAGCAAAAATCTCTTAAAGAAAAAAAAAAAGGAAGAAATGATCTTCCTGGGGCCAGCAAGTGGCACAGGGATAGGGGTAAATGGATCCGCATGGCTGACTGTGCCATTCGAGTCCTGGACCTGGTGACCTGACAATCATACTGGTGCATGTACACCCAAAATCCCGAGAAGAGAACGGAGGATGGAGGAGACGGGACTGCAGTGTGGACAACCCTCCTGGGCGTGGTTTCTTACTTTCTCTCTCTCTCTTGTTTTCCACTTAGTCAAGATTTAGTTCAAGGCTTGAAAACGTTCAGGCTAATCACTACTGTGATTTCTCATACTACATACATACTTAGTATAAAAGTTACAAAATAGGGAACCAGCAGTTAGCGTAATGGCTATGTCACTGGATTCCCACGTAGTCGACCGCGGTTCGTGTCCTGGACCCGGTGGCTTAGAACTCACACTGGGCGCATGTGCGTGCGTACCCAAGATCCTGAGAGGAGAATGGAGGAGAAGGGATTGTGGCGTGGCCATCCCCCCTGGGGGGTGATTTCTCGCTTTCTGTCTCTGTGTCTCTCTCTGTCTGTCTGGAGAGTGCATGTGCCCTATAGCGAAAACCTCTCAAAAAAAAGTTATAAAATAAACATGATTAACACATAAACACACTGATTTTCAAAAGCAAAGGCTACTTAACAAAATGTACGGTGACCAGTACAACATCAAAGAGCAGGGGACAGCAGTTAGAGTAATGGTTACGTTGCTGGACTCCCATGTAATTGACTGTGGTTCAAGTCCTGGACCCGGCGACTTAAAACTCATGCTGGGTGCATGTGCACGTGTGCCCGAAATCCTGAGAGGAGAACAGGGAAGAAGGGTTTGTGGTGTGGCCATCTGCCCTGGGAGATGATTTCTCAGACTTTCGGTTTCTCTGGCAAGTGCACGTGTCCTACAGCAAAAAGCTCTCTCAAAAACAAAACAAAACAAAACAAAAAAGAGCTCTCACACACTTAATGAGACTGTAGTTACCAGCAAGCTACCCAGACCAACACTAATCTGTTTTTTTTTTTTTTTTTTTTTTTGGAGAGATTTTCGCTATAGGGCGTGTGCACTCGCCAGACAGACAGAGAGAGACATAGAGACAGAAAGCGAGAAATCACCCCCCGGGGGGTGGTCACGCAGCAATCCCTTCTCCTCCATTTTCCTCTTGGGATCTTGGGCACGCACATGGCGTGAGTTTTCAGCCACCGGGTCTGGGACGCGAACCGCGGTGGACTATGTGGGAGTCCAGCAACATAGCCATTACACTAACTGCTGGTTCCCATGAATGGTACTCTTTTTGAAAAGAGACTTTTACCTTAGGGCGCGTGCTCACTGGAGAGAGAGACAGAGACAGCAGGGATAGTGAGAAATCACCCAGAATGAGCTCAGAGAAGGGGACGGATTTAGACAGAGAGCGGGCGGAGGCTGGGGGCCGAAGAGCAAGGGCGGCCCTGCTTCCCCAGCACTGGCAAGGCAGGGCACACCGGAGGACGCTCGCCTAGGCAGTCCTGGGCAGTGTGTCTGTCAACGGCGCTGCATTAATTACGCCATCAAACATTAACGACGCGGAGCAGATCGCGTTACCAGCCCCGCAGGCCCTGACTGCAAACATGCCAGGCCGGTTTCCGCCTGCCGACTTCCACGGGCTCCTCTGCTGGGAAGGCAGGGGCGGGCTGATTCCGGTGTGCCGGTCCCTAGAGATCCGCCTCACTCGGTCCCTCACCCATGTGGCTCTGGGCAAACTGCAGCCACGA